GTTTCCAGCTCATCCCAAATATCACATTTTTTATTATATTTCACACAAGTTTAAATCTATTTAACTACAGGTTTGTTTTCCAATTAAACTGAAGTATTTCTGAGGCCCATTTAAACTGCTTGCTGCCAGCACACTGTACACAGCTACAGCATTAATGTTAGCTTGAGTAACCGTGTGTTCTTAGGAGACAACATTAACGACAAATGTGCATATTTCAGACCTTCCTCGACTATATGAGCCTTTGAGGGGAATTTCTAAATGCACCTTGTCTGTAGAAACTCACAATAAAGCCTCCCTTGATGCTCACAACTTTTACTGAGCTAAGTGTGCACAAGGCCTACTTCAGGTACCGTCCGGAGGAGAGGCATCGTCGAACTTCTGCTACAGGTCACGCAAACATGCTAACTTTATCACACCAGCGCAAAACTATTAAAGAGACTTAAGTGATAGCACCATGTAGTTACAGTCCATTAGAAATGTTGCATGCACTAGCAACATTATTCACCTCATACAACGACAGCGAGGAACACTCTTTTGTTGAATGCAGCTAGCTAACAGTTAGCGTTGGATTCAGCCTGCTGGCGTTAGCTAGCCAGTTAGCTTATGCACGTTTTCAAAGGATTCACTTAGAAAATTGCGATTATCTAGTTCCGTGCTGCAGATTGAAGGCAGAGTTCAGCGTGGGTTAACCTTTAAGAAATGTGTGTGCATTTCGCACGGTGAATAAAGTTATTATAGTGATTATGTGCACTTACGAGTGCACTCTCCTGTTTCTTCGACGGCTGTTGTTGTTGGCATTTGAGAATGGAGGAAGAGGAGGTCTAAATCCTTACCAAACAGGAAACAAACTAAGCAATGTCGAACTACTTTAATATAATTCTATGCGTAATACCATGGACAAATTACTTAAATTGTGTTCGTGTTTACTAGTGAGTTTATTTTTTGCTCAACTTCCTGTTTCATTTCATTTTATGCCAGGATTTGCCTGTGTCGTATTGAGGCTGAATTAAAAAGTGATCGTTTTCAATGGATCAAAGACTAACCACTGAAAAAGTAAACAGAACAAGTTAACAATTAAGCATAAACAACATGTGTTTTATTCAGACTGAGACATTTTAAACTACATATTTCGCCAAGACTTCTGATTTATCCTTTACTTTCTGGGTGATTAGATTCTTGATGTTTAAGTGTTGATTATTGACAGTGATAGGTCTGGACACTGGTCAGCAACAAACTTAAGAACAGTGAGGTTATTCCGAAGTTACACTAGCATTATGTTTATGAATAATGTCTTAAAACTAGACACATACACACACTAGCCTGCTTGTTATAAATACGTTGAAGAAAACACCGAGCTAACGAATAATATATTTTGCTACGTTACAAGTGTTGTTTGCTCAACCATTAAACACATATTTTTTGACGTTTCAGGACAACAATGATCATTCAACAGCATCAAGTACATTATGTTAATGAAAACCAATTAAATCACAATCACCATGAATCTCCACATTAAACCCACCAAAGTCCTTCTGATGACTGTGCTATATATAGTAAGTTATCAACTTGTCAGATGATACACTGAATTCAACACATAAAGTACAGCAACTAGTAATATTTTAGGTAGTTAGCAATGCCTTCTCATTAGTGTAGCAACAAGCTAACTCGCGATTACGGTTGGAAAGCAGGACCACCGGCGCTTTGTTAGCCAACTGACGATTCATGAGCTAGCAGCTAGCAGGCGAGCTAACCCACAGCTGTCATCGACAACACTGCCAGTATTAGCCGCAACATTACTACGTTAGCTTAGTGTTAGTATATTTTAAAGACTTTCAAAACACACAATAACTGATACAACATATATTAAACTTTCTTTTGTGGTAACTCGGTCACACAGCAAGCCAAAAGTCGATAAATACGGCGGCTTACCGGTGCACTTCACAAGTTAGCAAAATGTTTGTTAGCCTCTTCTATCCACTCTCCGCTAGCCTTGCTACAGCAGCGCGTCTCACAATCTGATCTTGGCGGTGTCTCTCTTCAGCGCCCTGTGATTGGACAGCATCGACGAGACGAAAGCAGAGCAGTAGAGTGGCTCGTGCCCACAGACAGCATCACTTGGGATTGGTGGATACCAACCAGCGTCATATATACACACACCGCCATCTGCTGGCCAGGAGTGGGAGGATTATCAACTGGGGTCGCAGACTGAGGTAGGATTTTTGTCATATTTTACAGCTGCTCATTTTGTTATTTCAATATCCCATGAATTAATGTCAATCATTTTGTTCCTCATGACTTCATATCATTGTTTTTAGTTCTCGTATAAAACTTACTTTTTGTCGAAAGTCCTTAATTCTACTAGTAGGTGAATGTGTTTTTTGCAAACAAAAAAGGAAATAAATACATTAAGATAAGTATAAAAAGAACCAGAGCTAAGCAGAAACAGTAAACATAAACTAAAATAAATAATATATATTCAAAAGCTATCAGACAATTAACAGTGAAGTGAGTGTTGCTGATAAGTGACAGCTTGTGATTGATAGCAGCAGAGTCAACAAGTCACTGTAAACAGTGCACACCTAGGCAGGCTAATATATGATGTAATATAATATCATAGTTCATTATTATATATGGTCTATGAGACAATATGAAACAGACTAGTATAGTAGTAATATGATATACTATACTACAAAAATGTAACATAGTGTATAAGCATAAAAAAGCAATAAAACATGGGCTAGTATAAGTGTAATATATAGTGTAAGACATAACAGTTACCAATTAGTAATAGAATATTAAATATGGTATCATATGTATAATATATAACACAAATACAATCAACTAAAACGAATACAGTGAAATAAAGCAGCCTTCAAATAAATGCTATTTTTCTGTGAGGTGTTGATTCAAGTTTATGGAAGTTTTGTAGGATGTATTTTGGTGATGTTGATTTGTATTCGTTGTACAGAGGGGTGTTTTTCTTTTTGAGGGTAGAGTAAGTATAGGAAGCATCTTTCTCAGTATAAACAAATACAATACGACAGCCTAACAAACCGCTGTATACAATCAGAGTACAGCCCATGAAAGCATCTCACAACAAGTGGTTTTCCCTCTATTATTATGATCATGCTGCATCCTGTGAGTAAACACGTTTTCAACTAAAACCAGGCTACCATTCGTACCCTTTTCACTGCAAAAGGAAGACTGACATCCACAGATACTCTATCAGTCATCCCTCACACTTGTTGAAGGGTGTATCATTTACACTTGAGATAAAACTCAGCTGGGCCAGAGTCCGCCCAAAAGACATATATTACATTTTTTTTTCAAGGTTGACACTAAGAGGGGTGTTTTTTATGATATATGGGGTACTCAAATTACTCATTGTCCACCGAATATAATATAAAGGGGGGAAAATAAGAGCAGCTGGGCCCCCATTAACCCCGCTGTCCCACATACTCTTTGTGTTAAGTGTGCAACTGTTTTATGCCTGAATACTGCCTTGCCCTAGATATACTGCGTATGCCTTTTAAATAAAACTATTAATTAAACATAATACACAAGTAAACATCATAAAGAGTCTTAACAACTGTAAAGGCTGTATTGCTCATAGGAGAGGTGGTAGGGCCTACAGGATATCTGTATGGATAATTACATTACATGTCATTTGTTAGATGCTTTTATCCAAAACGACTTACATACATTCAGTACTGTGGACAATCCCCACAGGAGCAATTTGATAATCCAGCCATAATGTACACATGGTGCAATAAAGTAGAGTAAAAGTCTCACTTTCTTTCCCCACTAATTACAAACATGTATATTGTATACATGGTTTTAAATATCAACAATAAAGTCACATAACATCAGAGCAGTTACTGCAGAACCTCATCCTTCAACTGAAACCTTTTATAGCTGCTTGACTACTTCCGCGCATGCGCATAATGAGAGACAGTCGGGCTACCAAACTGGTCAAACAGCGGGTGTAAAAATGGTAGGTAACCAAAATAAACACAAACCCAGGCTTTGTCTTTGGTGCCATTAAGACTTACCTTGAGCACTATGATCGTAGTATTAAAGTACACGCTGTGTCGCGTTTTGGCACGTCTACAATGATAAGTTACGTGTGTTCGCTGCTATTACAGGGAAGGTCAGTTGATATTTTGGGAGTAGCTAGCTAGCTACACGTCCCTGTTTGGCAGTCTGGTAACTTCGGCTGTGAGCAGGTCAGTCTTTGGACCTTAAAGACAGACACACACGGGATCGTTTTAGTGAGATCCCGGTATATATTTAACCATACTGACAGTCTAATCCCGTGATACAACATCGTTGATGTCAGTGATACAGTGTGGCTAACTTAGCTAACGTTAGCCAGTATAAGTTACTAGCTGGTGGTATGTAGACAATGCTAACCTAACGTTACCCTTCTGGTCGCACACACATCTGTGCAGTCTGAACAGAAGACTTTTGACTTCTGCTTCGTTTTTAACAGGAATCTGTAACGATTGGTGGAGTCATTAGCAACTTGGTGAACTCAGAGTTTAGTCTCCGGTTTCAGGAAATGCTCTCCAGCGAAGTGCAAGTGCTCAGATACAGCAGCTGCTATGCTGAATTTTCAATACGATATTTCAGAACAATATCCATTAAGATGTTTTCTTTCGGGATGTCACCATCAAAAGTTTGCCCCCGATCCGAGTAATTTATTATTGAGTATCGATACCAGGACTATTTTCCTATAATAATATCTTTACACACTTTAAGTACATTAAAGTTATTAAAACCAATTCAGTGTTTATGCTTGACAATTAAAAAGCTTTGCAATATATTCAAAGAAAAAGCCAGGATCGTAGCTGTTTCTTAATATGTTGTTTACTTTTGTTTTTACAAACTACTAATTATACTTATTGCATCATTGTAATAAAACTAGCTTTACTGTTTATTTTTTCTGATCCTTAGTTAAATATTTACAAACTACTAATTATACTTATTGCATCATTGTAATAAAACTAGCGTTACTGTTTATTTATTCTGATCCTTAATTAAATATTTGTTTTTAAAGGACTCGTCACAAATTACCCAAGGCGATGTTTTCAAATCAAAAGTAAAAAACTCGGAGAAATTAATAATAAATTAAAATGGAAAATTTGAGCAGTCAGAGACACTGGATTTTTACATTTTCTCTTAAAAATTACTTTAAAAATTCAAATTAATATGAGTCCTTTAACTACTTAATGAATCAGAAAAACATCTATACATTGTAGGGATTAAGTCATTTGGAAAACCACTGTTGTTTATCATGTCTGTAAAACTTTCCCAACAGTTAACTGACGCAATATGCTGAGGTTATTTGTATGCCGACAATAGCCAAATTAAATATACTGAATGCCTGTTCATGCTTGCAGCCATAACTCATTTCTGTACACATATCTTACAAAAGTGAAAATTCCCAACTTTTTCCAAAAGTGTTGACAATATTAATGTATAAAGTATTCTGAGAAATGCAATATTATTTAATTTTATTGCCGTATATTTCTGGCAGGGTGCTTGTGTTACACTCTAGACTTGTTGCACCCCCAGGTCCGGGTGATGGCATCCCATTTCCCTACTCATGTTACATCTGGGACTGTAGTTATCTGAGGGGCCCTCGCGGGTACAGCATGTGCTTTGAGAATCCACAACATCCCCCTTCAGAAAAGCCCATGTTGCCGTTGGATAGGACATTATTAACAGGACAGCGACTTGGCTCACCACCACATATGTGTGTCAGTGTGACAGACTAACCTTTTGATATACAAGTTTCTGAGTGTCTTGCAGTCCTAACTCTTGCCTGAATGCCTGTAGATGTGTGTGTCTCGCTGTGTGTTCTGGTCTGTGTTTCGGTCTGTGTTTGTGTGTTGCTGTCAGTCTTCCCTGGTCTGATCGCGCCCGTGTCTGATAGTCCCTGTCCTGTCCTCACACAGCATAAGCTAAAGTCTTCGCAGAGGGACAAGGTACGGCAGTTCATGTCCTTCACACAGGCTGGGGAGAAGACAGCTGTGTACTGCCTCACGCAGAATGACTGGAAACTAGAAGTTGCCACCGACAACTACTTTCAGAATCCAGACCTCTACTGCAAGGAATCCATGAAAACGTCAGTAGACCGGAAAAGGCTCGAGCAGCTCTACAATCGCTACAAAGGTAAGTCTGTAACCTAAAATATCAACCAGAAAGAACTGTATTTAAAAAAAAAAGTTCTAGACACTACTTTGCCGCAGAAAATGTCACTGATACTCTTTCCCCCCCCCCCCCTCCTTGATAGATCCCCAGGATGAGAATAAGATCGGTATCGATGGGATCCAGCAGTTCTGTGACGACCTCTTGCTGGATCCAGCCAGCATCTCTGTGCTGGTCGTGGCGTGGAAATTTCGTGCCGCCACTCAGTGCGAGTTCTCCAAGAAGGAGTTTCTGGATGGAATGACAGAGTTGGGGTGAGTGTTGACATCAACAGCGTGAGACATGCTCCAAAGTGGGACAGTGTGCCCAAAGTATCATTGGTGGTGGTTCCTCTTGGAGTATAGCTCCAGGGAGCGAAGGTTGTCTATATATAGAGCCACTCAACCACAGCTAGAGTATTCTGTGTCCTTATGGAATTACTCCGTCAAAGAGTTGCAGTGTTTTGACTTTCGAAGTTCAAGTTACCTTTGGCAAATGTGTCATCAGCATTAAAAAGCTAATGTTACAACTGGTTAGGGTGTGTGTATTTAAATTGTTGGTTTATTTATTGCTTAAATTTGTTTTTTTCTAGGTGTGACAGCCCAGAAAAACTGAAGGCCCTGTTGTCAAGATTAGAGCAGGAGCTTAAAGACAGTGGGAAGTTTAAGGACTTCTACCAGTTCACCTTTAACTTTGCCAAAAATCCTGGGCAGAAGGGTCTAGGTAAGATGAGTTACAACATCAACAACAACATCTTGCTTAATGGTGTCACTGAGTTTCAAACCGTTGTTAAGTGTTCTGCTTTGTGTTTGTGTGCAGACTTGGAGATGGCCGTAGCTTACTGGAACCTGGTTCTGTCGGGACGGTTTAAGTTCCTTGATCTTTGGAACAGATTCCTCCTGGTGAGTCAAGGAAGTGAAATTAGAATCAGTATCAGCACCAACACTGACCTTATTAAGCAGATCAGGCATTTGCCACGACATGACCGACGAATATACAATTTTCTCTATTTGTTACATTTACGACATGCAATTTGTATGGTCAAAGTAATCCCTTGCTGTGTTACCTTACCCAAAAGCATCAAATAACTTTAAATGAGAGAAATGTAAAAATATCAAATCACTTGAGTATCGCCATATCATCTTTTTTGATACTGTGTCAATCTGCAAAAACTCAACTGCCTTTTTTCTAATAGTTTACATCCAAAGATTTGTGACAGACAGAAGTCCAGATTCCACATAAAGCAGTTGTTCTGAATGCATTAAAAAGTCTTACAACTTTTTGTTTAACTTGGATTGTTTGCATAGGGCTGTGTTTTGTTTCTGCTGTCAGTTATCCTTACATTAGATTTTTCTTGCCTTGCTTAAAATGTCCAGTATATGTAATGGTATCGCCCCAACATCGTACTGCCAGATTCTTACCAATACACAGCCTTAATAGGAGCATATATTTAAAATATAGGGAAGAAGAATATTCAAGAGTTGAGGTTTTAGAATGGATTTCAAGTGGGATAAACATGGATTGTATATCAAAAGATAAAAACACATTTGTTTCAATCATGGTGAACTTGACTTTCATCCCAAGGGACAACAATTGACCCCAACAGTCTCCTGTTGTTTGAAGGAGAAACTGTGGATAATGTGGGGAATTGATTCTTCAGATTGTGTCGGAAGTTTTTATGAAAAAAACAGCTATTCTTGACCATCTGTTGTCCATTACAGGAACACCATAAACGATCCATCCCAAAGGACACGTGGAATTTATTGTTGGACTTTGGTAACATGATCGCAGACGATATGTCAAACTATGATGAGGAAGGTGAGTTCTGGATTCATCGATCTGCTTCCTCTCTAATGCTGGGAACATGGACTTTACTGTTTCAATCACTCCCACTGATGATATCTTGTTTCTTTTCTCAGGAGCGTGGCCGGTCCTTATAGATGATTTTGTGGAATTCGCTCGACCAATTGTAACGGGATCAAAACGTAAAACTCTCTAAATCCACTCCCAACTCTGGAAAAGCCAGAACCTTGTTTCTTTTACAGTGACTTCATTGTTTTTTTTAAGACTTGTACAGAAAAAGTGAAAATTGTAGACGAGAGAGAAAACAGAAGCACTTGAAACTGTCAGGACACCACCTTTCAGGGAGCTGAGTACAAACATTGAGAACAACTGACCACTTTTTTTTGCCCTCATGAGACCGGGGCGTCATCCGGACATCTGACGGATTCACCGTTGTCTCTCCGCTGGATTCTCAGCATCCTGAATGCCTCTGCTCGGCTCCAGGAGGAGCGCAGCCCTGTATGAGGGGATGGACACAGCGCTGAGGAGCTTCACTGGCTGTGTGCACTCTAAAGGGACTGGAGAGGAGGAAACTGTGTGTGTTACGCTTTATTTTGTTATATGAAGCTCTGAGCAACTGTGCAAAGTTCCCATGTCTTACTCTAACTCTGAGTGCTCGCGACACCAGCACCAACAGAACTGTTGCAGTTTTTACTGTACATACTGTATCTATTGGGACAGTTTACAAAGAGAGCTATATGAAGAATAATATAAATACTTTCAATTTATAAATGCAAAAGATGATTCTTTTATGTACAGTCAATGCTTAGATCTCTAACGGGATGCCTCGATATCGTGGATGATACGCTGTTGGTTTAAGTGTTCGGTGGATCTGTCATGGAGTTGTGAGCTTCTCGTTGAAAGCATGTTAAACACATTTTACGTCACCACGAACTGGTTTCACAAATACATTTTCACTAAAGTAAAGGCAGTGCTTTAATTTAGCTAACTGAGTTTGGTTCGTGGTTTTCATTTGTCAGGTTAATGTCAGTTGGGAGTATTACATCTTACATGTGACACAGTCCACATACAGCAGCAAACTTATGTTTTCAAAAGATTACTGTTGAGGAAATGTTCTTTTTGTATCCCTGAGGCAGTAATGATGCTAAAATTACTATTCAGAAGCATTTATGTGAAATATAAAGTGAAGAACTGACAAACCCGTAGGATAGCATGGCACATATCCGTATGTTATGGCAGTGCTCAGTTCAGAAGCCAGGACGTTAAAGACGGGACGACAAAGTAAGCCTTAAGAATAAATATCTGTCTGTTCAATATTTATATTTCTGTTCGAGCCCATCTGTCCAGTGTTACTGACGGTAGTGAAAATTAGAATATATTGTTAAAACATCATGTAAGTATATTGTTCATTTGAGAAAGATGAATAAAGCATGAGCTTTTCCATAATCATACATGCAAAAAGTTATTTTGTTGATGAGACACATTTTATATCCCACAACAGTACAGCTGCTTAGACAGGATTGTGTATTTGTTATGATTGACAATGTAAAAAAGATTTATAACCATACTGATCTGAAAGCTTTAATATTACATTTTTCAGAATAATCCTCCATGTTGTTGATTGTTAATAATAAACAATATTTAACAAGATCTTTCAAGTACATTCTCATTGTAATTTGGCCCAATTGATAGTGCTTTGGAAAACAAACCTCATTAATTAAACATTATTTATTAAATATGTACCTGTTTGCGCAATGTAACATATCTAAAGTACAGTGTTGGATGATGGTGAGCTGTTTAGGAAGTTTGATCATAAAGTATTTACAAATGTATTCTACGTCCTCAATGTGTCTATCATAATACACAGCAGGTTAAGTGACTGAAATAATATTTACGCCACTATGTACCTGTATGTTGGGCCATCCTCTGCAAAGATAAGTTGTCACGAACATCAGTGTTTAGTTTGCGAAAAGGGTTTTATGACATGTTTAGATGTTCCAACACTTAAAACATTTAGTTCAAATCAGACAACTGTGTGTTCCCTAGTTTCCTTTTTTTATTTCTCCATCATTGCTGTCAAATAAATGCAGAAATACAATAAAAATCATGATTCTATAAGACTAATGTGACAGAAAAGAAAGAATATCTCATCCATGGCTACCATTTAGGGAATAGTTCACATTATGGAAGTCTTAAAGGAAAATGGTCAGTAGCAGAAGGACTGGATTTGTCCCCTATCACTTTCATAGGAAGGGCATTGGAAAAGGATATTTTAATGACCAGTGAACAGGAGGGATTACAACAAGCTAAACCTGTTCCAGTGTACATAAGAGCGCCTTATTATTTGCTGTAAAGACACACTGATGTGGCTGTATCCTTTAAGGAAAAGCGCACGTCCTCTACCATACCTGGGAATGTGCTGGATTAACACATTTGAATGAGATTATTTTTTCTATAATCTGTTTTTAAGGGGTAATATAAAACCAGCATTATTGTATTTCTGGCCACTTGGGGGCAGTGAAAACATTGATATAAAAATATCCAGTTTAGAGGCACTAAAAATAAATGTAAATTAGTCAAGTAAAAGGGGTTTAGTCTTCCTTTTGATAGTTATATTCCTTGCAGTGCATTTTAGATATACAATTTAGATCATAGGAAGATGCCATGTACATAATAAACAGTTAAGAGAATGTGTACTTTTTTGAAAGACATTTAAATATCTTTCAACTTGACTTGAACGGGGGAATTTGGACTCTGTATTTTAAAAATAAAAATATTAGTATTTTAAATGTTTAAAAATCCTGGCTATGAATCAATGTTTACCATCTACTACATGAAGTACACACCTCTGACTGTAAATGAGGACATACTAGCAAAACATCACTGTTTCTCTTCCTCTAATTGTGCATGCATATAGCTCGATGCTTCCTTTATACAGTTTATGGATGTTACCTTTATTTAAACAGTCTATGGATGCTACCTTTATACAGTCTATGGATGCTACCTTTACATATATACAGTCTATGGAGGCTACCTTTATTGGATACTACCTTTATACAGTCTATGGATGCTACCTTACAGTCTTATGGATGCTACCTTAAAACAGTCTATGGATGCTACCTGTGGAAGTTACCTGCGTGTTCCTTCCACAAGCCCCGCCCCTCGGTTACAACAGTAAGGTGAGTAATTTGAAACTCCGACCGCTTTGTTATTTACCTTCACAGCAGACAACTCTATTTCAAGAAACAGACATGGAATAAACAGGATTTTATAACCTCGGAGGCGGACTACTTTATACCCGCAGCACATGACACACAATGGAGCTGAAAGGAAATGCTTCTCAGGCTCTTTCGGGTGATAATGACAGTGAAAGGTGAGCTTTGTGTCGATGTGTTCACTGACTGCTGCTTCTCTTTTAGTTACGGTTAAATCATGTTTATTCTTGACTAACAGCAACATCAGCTTATTTCCTCATCATCTAATTGTATTTACACCAGTGGTGGAATGTTACTAAGCACATTTACTCAGGTACTGTACTCAGGTAAAACAAGATGTGGTAATTGTACTTACCTATAGTATTTTACAATTATGCTACTTTATACTTTTACCTTATTACACTTTGTAGGCACTTCTTAGTCCACTACATGATTTTATAAAGTCAGTTACAAGCCAGGTTACACAGAATGACTTGTCATAAAAATAGAAATATATGATAAACACTGTATTATATAATTATAGGTTAAGCTACCCAAGAGTATATAAAGTAATTAAAAACAATTAAATTATTGATTATGTATGATTTAAGACTTGGCCGTACTACATGAGTACCTTTACTTTTCGTAAAAAGTCAAATTTGATACTATTACTTTTGTACTTTTACCTAAATACGATTTTGAATGCAGAGCCTTTACTTACTAGCTTATTATTATACTTATTATCTTTATTGTAACAAAGTATTTTTAAACTGTATTGCAATCTTTACCTGAGTAAATGATCTGAGGGCTTCTTCCACCTCTCGTTGCCAGTTTGTTTTACTTGAACATTTACAACAACAGTTATTAAAACTACCGAGATCAGTAAAATATCATTTCAAAAAGCTGTTTGTTGAAAAAACGAAACTTTCTGAGGTTACTTTTCAAACTTGAATGTTGCTCTTGCTACTATAAACCCAGTATAAAGTAATTTAAAACGGACTAATCATCAGGCTTGGGTATTTGATCTCCTCTCTGCTGAAACCCAACCCTGGGGAGGCTGTTGTAGCGTCTGTCCTCAGGGAATAGGATCGACAAAGAAGGGCGGGGAGGAAAGTGACACCAGCTGTCAGTGGTGCTTTGTGTGTGTAGCCTACTATATATTTGTAAATGCTGGACTCTGTGGATTTGCCCCTGCAGGATTGACCCTTATGGCTTTGAGAGACGTCAGGATTTTGAACCCTACAAGGAGATGATGACAGAATATGTAGCGGTGCTCAACAGAAGGTCAATGAGATGGGACAAACTGCTTCAGGAGAAACCACATGTGGAGAAAAACCTGACAGGTACAACAACAAAATATCACCAGTGGAAGAATGTAACAAGAGAGACATTAACTAAAGTTCTATACTTCTATTTGACACAGTTGTACTTCACTTCATTTCCATTTTAGGCTACTTTATACTTCTACTCCACTACATATCAGAGGCAGGATTTGTACTTTTTTTTACTCTCATAGCCACTTTTAAGAATCAGAAAATCTGAAATATTGTATTCATCCCCCATGAGGAAATTGACGTTTGACGTATATTGCTGTGAAAAGCACCCTGCTGCAAACTGGGTACATCTTTTGATACTTTAGGCTCATAATACTTTTGTACTTCTATCTAAATAAAATTTTAAACTCAAGACTTTTACTTGTAATGGTGCAATTAAGACAATAGTACCTATGCTTCTACACAAGTAATAGTAGTAGGTAGTAGTAATAGTAGTAGGAGTAGGATTTAAGTACTACTTCTCTATTAGCACACCACTGTTGTGCTTTCAGTGCTTTTTGTGGTTATGTAATTGCAATTATAAATATATATATCAATGTTTTTCTTTGAAGTGAAGCGCTACGTGCGTAAAGGTGTGCCTAATGAGCACCGTGCCAGGATGTGGATGGCGGCCAGCGGCGCTCAGGAGCGACTGGAAAGAAACCCGGGTTACTACCAGGCTCTGCTGAGCATGGAGCACGACACCAAGCTGAAGGAAACCATCCACACAGGTGCAAACAAACAAACGTTACACAGAGGACATTTTGACAGGGGTGGACAGAAAGTACATTTACACTGTACTTTTTTTAGGTTCTTTACTTGAGTCATTTTATTTTCTGCTACTTCATACATTAACTACACTATACTTTAAAGGAAACTAAGGAACATCTTACTCCCCTTTATTTATTTAATAACTTGTATTTTAGTTTCTTAAGTTAGAAAATCATATTCAGATCAATAATACAAAATATAATTATAATATTAATTAATCTCGTATTATTATTATTATTATTATTATTATTATTATTATTATTATTATTATTATTATTATTATTATTATTATTATTATTATTATTATTATTATTATTATTATAGGATTAAGATTAAACTTTATTTATCCCTTGGTGAAATACACACGTTCTGCAGTATAAAGTAAAAAGGATATAAGCTCCTACTTTTCCAGCTGCAAAATTAGAGTGATGAACACATTAAAGGTGGGGTAGGTAATTTTGGAGAAACCAGCTCGAGTGCGCTAGAATTTGAAAATACACAGCCGGAAAAAATCTCCCACTTCCTTACAGAGCCCCTCCTCCAACACACAAGAACGCGCACATGACCAATGAGGGCACGAGATAAGTTTGTGCACAGATGGAAGGCTGACAGGCAGGTAGGCCATCCAGTTATTATAGCCGGGCCGGCTATAATGATTGGTTGTGCTTTTTACAGTACTACTGCTTCCACAGATGACATATTTTTATTGATTTTTTGTCAAAGCACTTAAGATATTCATTGCTATCGGGATGTTAAGAGCATTCCATGGAATATAACAAAAAGTGTATCTCGAGCCGGTTTCTCAAACTTACCTACCCCACCTTTAAAGCATCAATTTTTTTTTTTTTATTTAGCCTTTATTTATACAGGTTTAAAATCTCATTGAGACACAAGGTCTCATTTTCAAGAGAGACCTGTCAGTGGTAACACTACCACACAAAGTTACAGACAGACAGGACACCAAACACAGAGGCAACAACAAAATACAACATCGTAAAAAAAGCAGTCACCGAAATCCACACAGCAGTCAGTTAAAGCAGGTGCAAACACCCACAGATGATTTCTCCAGCTTTTTTAAAATTAGTTTAAAATCCGTGATGGGTATCAAACTGGTCAGCTTGAGTTCCTGCTGAAGTGTGTTCCAGGTCGAGGGGGCAGAGTATGATATGGCTTTTTTCCCAAGCACTGTGCGAACTGAGGGGACGGACAGAGTGATGTAATGTTGAGATCGTAGGCTATAGCTGTACTGTTTGTGTGATATGTAAGTGGATATGTAGAGGGGCAGCAGTCCAAGCATAGCGGTATAGATGAATTTGTACCAGTGCAGTGATCTGCGCATTGATAATGATGTCCAGTTGACTAAAGAGTACAG